AAGCTTCAAATACTAATACTAACATATATTAGTGCTGTCTCTTATACACATCTAGATGTGTATAAGAGACAGGCTTTAACTGGTTCGGTCGATAGGTGTTTGGACTGGCTCGATCGGTAGGTGCTTGGACTGACTCAGTCGGTAGGTGTTTGGACTGGCTCGGTCGGTAAGTGCTTGGAGTGACTCGGTCGGTATAGGTGCTTGGACTGGCTCGGTCGGTAGGTGCTTGGACTGACTAGGTCCGTATAGGTGGTTGGAGTGGTTCGGTCGGTAGGTGGTTGGAGTGGCTTGGTCGGTATAGGTGCTTGGAGTGGTTGGGTCGGTAGGTGCTTGGAGTGGTTGGGTCGGTAGGTGCTTGGAGTGGTTGGGTCGGTAGGTGCTTGGAGTGGCTGGGTCGACATTTATTTAGCAGTTTGAACGTTTTTTTTTCTTTTCTTCTCGATTTAAGCATTTTTTTTTTTTTAAGCATTTTTCGTGGAAAGATCAAGACCAAACATGCAGACCCTTAAATTTTCAGCGGATTTGAGTCATTTTTCTGAGCGCTAAAAATCGCGGAAGTTGGGGTACTTTCTCCGTTGACCCACATGTCGTAGGGGGGTAAAAAACGAAAACACAACGAATCTGCGCAACGTTTTTTTGACGGTTTTTCTTTTTTTAATATTTCTGATATTTTTTATAGAAAGAGCGCAATGTGATCTACCGGATCTGAAAATTTCAGATTTTTTCATCAATTACTTTGAGCTCGAAAAATCGGCAAAGTTGGCGGTTCAAAATTGCAAGACTGGACCCGCCTGCCATATTGTGCAACATTAGGGTTCGGACGCACAGGCATTTGCCACACGAGGTAAAGTGCCAAGAACGGGAATTGCGAGCATTTGGCGCGGCATTTATTTTGCGGTCTAAACATTTTTTTTTTTTTTTAATATTTTTTTGTGGAAAGATTAAAGACCAAACCTGCAGACCCTTAAATTTTCAGCGGATTTGAGTCTTCCTTCTCAGCGCTAAAAATCGCGGAAGTTGGGGTACTTTCTCCGTTGGCCCACACGTCGTAGGGCAGTAAAAAGCGAAAACACAACGAATCGGCGCGACGTTTATTTCACGTTTTTTTTTTTTTTTTTTTTCCCTAGAAAGAGCTGAATCTAATCTACAGGATCTGAAAATTTCAGATCTTTTGATTAATTACTCTAAGCACGAAAAATTGCCGAAGTTGGCGCTTGAAAATTGCAGGACTGGACCCGCCTGCCATACTATGCAACGTGAGGGCTTGGACACACAGGCACATCCTGACGTGCCAGCAGCCTGACGTCGGATACACTTCAAAAGAAAGCAGTCCCCAAAAGCAAACAGGGACCCAGTCCACCTAAGTGATTATCTGATCAGGCAATTGAGTATTTCAAAATATGTGTGTGGGTTCGAACTCCAACCTGACCACAACCACTGTGAGCAAGCTTCAAATACTAATACTAACATATATTAGTGTGTGCATATGGGTGGGTGGGTTGGCAGGCGGGTCCTCCAACTTTTTTTTCGTTCTCCCCCCCGCTTTTCTTTGTTGAAGCCACCTCTTTTGTTTCGTCGCCGCCCGCGCAAAAACGCCAAAAAAAAAAAAAAAGCCGCCAAAAACAGAGCCGAAAATAAGAAAGAAAAGGAGGGAAAAATAAAAGAGAAACGAAAAAATGAAAGAGAAGAAGGGAAAAAAAAACAAAAAGAAAACCGGCCGAAAACAAAATTAAAAAAAAAGGGGCGGGCCACAAAACGACACTTTCTTGCTATCCGACGGCGGGCGCTTCGACATATTCCCTCGCATCGCCGCCTGCCGCCGCTGGGCCCCGTGGGCGCGCTCTCTCGTTTTCTGGCGCGCTGTGAACAATTCGGTATGCGCACCGCTCTGCTCGCCCCCCCTCCCTCGATCGCCTTCATCCGCCGGCCTGCATCAAAACTTCAACCCGATTCCGGCGCTCAGCGGAACACCGGCCTCCCCCACGGCCAATGCTGCTTAAGGGGTAGGATAGCAATGAATGGATGGACCAGAATCAATGTCCAATTCCTCCCCTTACTGCCGGCCACTCAAGAAGTCCATCCTAGCCATCCTACACCTTCTACTACTTGGTCGATTCGGTGGCTATGGTGCCTCGAGATTGTCGAGCCTAGCTCAGATGTTCAAAGCACAAAGCAAGGCCACTATGCTTCTTTGTCTTCAGCTTTCACTAACAGCAGATTTCTCAGTCTTCAATTTTTCAGGTCCATACATTAACCTTCTTTGTCTTCAGCTTTCACCTTTTTACCTTTTTTCTTTTATTTTATTTTTGGTCATAGTTTGGCAAACTCATTTCCAGAATTGCTGCTTGATGTCTGAGTAGTGGAATTTCTCACTGAGACCGCATTTGCCTTCTTTGTTTGTTTTTTCAACTTTTTTTTTTTTTTTTTTTGGAATTTGGATCCATGCATCTGATCCCGAAAATAACTGGATTTTATTGTTATTCTAATATTTATCTTGTTCACAAATACAGGTCGTTTGCGACAGTCATGCTGACTGTTTTGACCAGTTCTCAGGGTATTTTGATTGCTGCTTCGAAAACTGCGGGGGCTGATTTGTACGACTACAGTGTTGCTTCTGCAAACTGTAATGTAAATCCCTATCTTCCGACGCTGCCAAATTTTTCCTTTACTTCTTCCTTTTCTCTTCTCTTCTTCTCGCTGCTTCTCTCTTCTCTTCTCTTCTCCCTCTTCTCCTTCTCTTCACTTCTCTTCTCTTCTCTATGCTTCTCTTCTCTTCGCTTCGCTTCTCTTCGCTTCTCTTCGCTTCTCTTCGCTTCTCTACACTTCTCTTTGCTTCTCTTCGCTTCTCTTCGCTTCTCTATGCTTCTCTTCGCTTCTCTACGCTTCTCTTCTCTTCTCTTCTCTTCGCTTCTCTCTGCTTCTCTCCTCCCCTCTTGTCTTGTCTTTTTTTGTCTTCTTTGTTTGCACCCCCTTGACTTTGACTTTGACCAAAGCCTCCAGTGGAGAGGAGCACAAATAGAAACGAGTTATAACTTATAAATCATCGCTCAGGAGCTGAGCTCATGACCTGTTTATCAACAGCTACATGTGCATACAATTCAGGAATCAGGATGAGTCAGAGGAGAAGTTGCAACCACTCTCTCTCTCTCTCTCTCTCTCTCTCTCTCTCTCTCTCTCTCTCTCTCTCTCTCTCTCTCTCTCTCTCTTGGGAGTCCAAACAATTAGGGCTCCCACAGAGCTTTCGCCGCCGCGTGGTAGTGCCGACGGACCAAAAACAAAAACAAAACGCCCGCCAATTCCTGCTGATGGCAAACCAAGAGTGGAGCTCATGTAAGGAGTGTATTCGACTCTTCATGTCCCACTGTAGTAGCCCCCATCCTCCCACAGGCTTGAAGGAGTTTATGTTTTCCAGTAGGAAGGAGACTCTATTCCAGAAAGTCTAAGTTGTTTAACAAACACTTTTCGATGACCCGGGGACCAAATCCTGGAGTTAAGTGCTTCAAATTCACTGAATAGAAAACGGGCGGTCATTTGAGCCGCATTTGGGGCAACTTTCAGTCTAGATACAGCGATAATGACAGGGCGTTCGATTCGGATGAAGACGGTAGGGAGCGAGAGCTGTAATGGTAGTATGGATAGATAGACCTGTCTCTCAGAGACTGCAGCTATGGCAGGTTACACGTGTCAAACTCTCTGGCTGGCTTTTTATCCTCCTCCCTAGCCTAGCAAATGGCCTCCAGAGCAGCCCTATGGTAGGGCTAGTACAGATTAAATTTTGGCATGGACAAGAATGACGAATTGCCATAGCCTTCTGCCTTCCACCATAGCCATAGGGGGAGATTAGACCTCCTCGAGAGTGGCACAGTACACTCAACTGGCTGTCGAGCAAGGCCCCCCCGAGATTGTATGAGCAATGCATTGCTGGAGAGACTGGGATTCCTTGGTTCACCTCACCTCTCCTCCCCTGTCATGTCCCTCTTGCTTCCCAGGATCCAGCTACCCATGAGGAACGCCTATGGGCCTCGCTACACCACTGTGGAAACGAAAAAGAGTAGCAGTGCATCTTCCCCAGAAAAGTGACAAGATGCATTTGTTGCTATTCATAGTAACCGATGCATCTTGCCAGTCTTTGCGGGAAGATCCGAAGATGCACTCGTACTTTTTTTTGCCGGTCGACAGTGGTGTGGCGAGGCCCTATGTCTTCCCTTGTCGCTTTGGGGGGAAAAAATAATGACAGTCCAAGCCTCCAAGGATACAAGTCTACAAGGGCTAGGAAAGGGAAAAAAAAAAAAAAAGGGGTTGTTGCCGGATCTCTCAAGGGTCTGAAAAAAGAACAATTGGGGCTAGATTCATCCTACCAAGAAGGGGGTCAGGGGCCTCTTTCTGACATCCCCCCGAGGCCTCTCGCCTGGGCCCGTCTGGGGCCCAGGGGGGGCCCGAACTTGGACTGGATGGCGCTGAGGCTGCTCGACCCACAGTTTGGGCGGGCTTGGAGCGGGCTTAGGGCCAGGGACTTGATTTTGGGCTTGGAGTTGCTGCCTACGGGCAGGATGGAGTGGGTTTGTCCTTTTGTGGATCATTGCTGCATTGTATGGTCCTCTGAGGACACACTCACACTAACACTTTCCAAAATGCATCAGATCCGAATTTTGTCCACACCTGTATGCATCTGGCCGCAATTTCGTCCAGAAATAAGTAAAAAGTTCCTAGTGTGAGTATGCCCTGAGGGCATAGCCATACCACCCTCGAAACGTGCAAAATGAGAATGAACTTCCCTCTAGAACATGGCCAGATGCACCCGCCACTTTTTTGTCTTTTTCACATTTCGAGAGTGGTGTGCGAGGCCCTGAGTTTTTCTGGATGGGGAAATTTTTATTACGTATGAGAATAGAGGCCGACCACCTCACAATAGGTCGGTAGACTCGGTACTGGGAGCATTACCCAGCTTCGCTTTTGACGAGACCCTAAAAGGGACCCGATTTGTACCACATGTATCATCCTTACCAGCTATTTCTCCTAGGCTTATTGTATCAGCAAAACTCTCTTCCTATTCTATTGCTGTTCTCATCTGTGTCCAATGGCGGAGGAGCCTAGCTCAACTCAACGACCTTCTGCCACTAGATCTTCTAAAGCCTACATCTTATCCGAGTCGTTGGTGTGAGGCAGGACTAGGGTTTAAGGGATAAGAAACCTGAGAGGGTGAGGCAGGATCTAGGTTGTGGGGCTGCGGTAGCTCTACCGGCACTACCTGATTATAAGAGGGCATCCGTTAAAATTGGAACGATACAGAGAAGATTAGCATGGCCCCTGCGCAAGGATGACACGCTTTAGAAATGGTCCAAAAAAAAAAAGAAAAGAAAAGAAAAAAAGGACGGTAGGGAAAGGGACTAGGATGCTAGGGTACTGGGGGCTACCTACTAAACAGACCTACAGGACGGTCTGACCCCGGCCTATCATTTGGCTGAGAGGAACAACCTGCTTCTTGAGGGGAAGGGTTGGCACTCTCCTCCCTCCCGTCCGTTTGCAGCTTACTGCAGCTGCCCACTGGAACCGACTGTCCTGGTTCGAAGAAATTGATTAAGGAATTGAGAAAGGGGGTGGGGATAAGGAGTGCGATAGAGACTCAGGGGAGTAGCCAGGGGTTAATCACCAGTTTGCCACTGTGGTTGACTGCGGCCAGTCGATTGTCCCTTGCCCACGTCACAAGGAACCAGCGTCTGCTTCATGGTTGCCGTCCTCTGTGTGCTTTCCTGATCCGGTCTCACTCGGATCATTGTTCTGATCCATGCCTTGATCTTGTGGAGGAGGGAGCTGTCGTCGGTCCATGCCTTGATCATGCAGAAGATAATGTTGTTGCGGTCTTCCCAGATGAACCAGATAATGATGGTTCGAACAACTTGGGCGACATAGCCTCGACTGGTTCGCCAGAACCAAGTGTTGGGGATACGTCCGTGGAAAGCCCAGGCTTTGGGTCTCGCTCCACTACTCTAGAAACCAGCCATTTCTTGAGTGCGGCACCGCTCCACTTACTATAGGCGCCAGGTCTGGAATTCGGGTTCTTGAGCTGTCAGTCTCTACTCACGAAAATGGCGAGAATCCGTCGTCGCTCCACTACTTCATGAAACACACTCACGAAAACGCTTTTCTTGAGTTGTCGGAACCTCCTCTCCAGTGGGACTCTTGGCGTTTCGAGAGCGCCTGCCTGCAGCGGCGGGAATTTCAAGGGAGGCATCCAGGACCATCCGAGAGGCCTTCTCGAGTTCGACCTTCTAGAGTAAGTGGAGCGATGTTCTCTTTTTCAGTCGTTTCTAGAGTCTGACAGCTCTAGACTGACTCTCGAAAATCTTCGAGAGTCTAGAGTAGTGGAGCGAGACCCTTTGTCCCATGGGAGGGATGTTCTGATTTTTGTCTGAGGGCGTACACACACTAGCACTCTTGTAAATGAATCTGACCACGTTTTCGTCCGGACCTGTATGCACCTGACCGCAATTCCGTCCTAAAATAAGTAAAAAGGTGATCGTGTGAGTATGCCCCGAGTTCAGAACGTTCCGCTGCAGAGGTCTTTTTGTCTGTTCCAGGTTTTGTCTGACTCTGGTCTGTGATTTGCCCTTGTGCCTGTCGGCACTTTGTGTTTTCGGCCTCCCTGCAATACCCTCCAAATCTGCAAAATGAGACTGACTCTTGCACCGGAACGTGGAAAGATACACCGCCATAGTTTTTGCCTTCTGTGCCTGTGGAGAGTAGCGGAGCGAGGCCCTTTGTCTGGCATTTTCACTTGTGCCTGTTCATACTAGCGGAGTTACTGTTCCCCACGTTTTGGCGTTTCCAGGTCCAGCAGACTTTTGCCGGTAGCTGGCCTGTACCAGGTTTGTCATTGAGCCAGTGAACCTGGTCCAGCCCTCGGCCCTTGTGGACCCATGCTGCGGCAACAGCAGGAATGCCTGGACGTCTGGTCGACACTAGGCTGGCCGTTTTTTAAGGCCCAGTGACTAGACCACGACTTGAACCTACATCTAGGACTGTTAATCGTACATCAGACTGAAGTTCAGTGAACGGCCGTAGATGGGGCCCGAGGGGACACCAGTAGGCCCAGCGGTAGATATACAGCTGGGCCAGCACTCGAAGACAAGCAGTGTCAGTTGTGACGAACCACTTCCCGACCCCGTGCTATCTTTCATACCCCTTGACTCGAAACCCCCTCTTTGTATCATACTGACCCCACAAAACCCTCGTCGCTTTTCCTGATTTTAGGCGCCTTCCCTGGGCCTCCATTTTTCGGAAGTTCTATTGATTCTTGGAATTCTGCTTTTTGTAATTCGGGAAAGACACGGGAAATTACGCGTGCCTTAGCGAGCGCACTGGGAATCGGGCTCGACAGTTAGGAATTACGGAATAAGCGGAGCCCGATGTATCTTTTTCCTTGCATGAATGTTCTCGGGCACGTCGGAGAAAGCTCTAGGAATTTTGTGAGAATACGGATAGGCATAGGACTTTCTTTTCCCGCGTCTACTTTCGCGCGTGGATATGGTGATTTCAATTTTTGAATTGGTGTAGGACGTAGGCAAGCTGTAACTGTTTTGGTGCCTTTTTCTCTTGTTGTCGGCACCGCGCATGCGAGCTTCCTCCTT